CCCCCCCCCCCCCCCCCCCCCCCCCCCCCCCCCCCCCCCCCCCCCCCCCCCCCCCCCCCCCCCCCCCCCCCCCCCCCCCCGCGGCCCCCCCCCCCCCCCCACTCGTATTTACGCCGCTGGACAAATTTATTAGATGATTCATAATATAAATCTAACTGCGCATGATAACTACTTGAAATGAATCACAAGTTTATTGTAATTCGGCTGTCATTTATTATTATTTTTATTTCATTCGTTCTATAAAAGTCATGAGCAAACCAATCAATCTGTCGACATGCATACTTTTTGTGAAAAATATTTAAAACGCTAAATTTTTTCAGACATCTTTTCTTCGATCGCTACCAATATTCACTAAAAATCCTCAATTACCATGGGTAATGAGTCAGGCAAAAAACGCAATACCGCCTCGACACAGTTAACTCCAACGCGTTAGTAGTTTTAACTAATTTGAAAGTTTAATTTTTTGCTTTAATCCATTTTAGAGGTCGCTTTTCTCAAAACAAATACCAAATATTCCGAGAGTGGTAGTTTTCGTTGTTGTCTCTTTTTGTCTGTGTCTATTTTTCTTTATGATTTATAGAAATAAGAGAATGGCATATGGTTAGTAAAATTCATGATATATACCTGTTGCTTTATTTTGTTAATTATGGTATTAGGGCTTTATGCGTGACTGTCCTACTGGCAAACTTGATAAGAAAAAATTTACCGAAATTTACCAGATGTTCTATCCAACTGGTAAAGCACAAAAATTTTGCAAGTATAACTCTATCAAACAATTTTATGTAAGCATCCAATTCTATTTTATTTTAGATTTGCTTTTGATACATTTGATACAAACGGTGATGGCTCAATTGATTTCGAAGAATTTCTCTTAGCTATTTCAGCTACAAGTCAAGGTGATATTGATGAACGTCTTGGTCTTGCTTTTAATATGTAAGTTTCTCAAAATATCCTGGATTTATCTAAGAGATTCTTTTTCCTCTATCTAGGTTTGATATTTCTGGAGATGGACAAATTGATTCAAAAGAGCTAACAAAATTGATTTCTGCTATGGTAAAATATTACTTCTATTCTTGGAATAAAACTTTCTTCTTTGGTTTTTCAGTATGATCTTATTGGTGAAACTAATCGTAAAGGTGATCGTGATCCAAAATATCTTGCTGCAGATATTATGAAAAAATTGGATGTCAATGGCGACAGGAGATTGAGCAAAGAAGAATTTATTACAGGGTAAAAGTTTTAATTATTTCTATGGGATTATACATAAACTTTTGTTATTTTTCAATTAGATGTAAAAAGGATCCACACATTCGTAGAATACTTGCTCCGAGCATGTAAAACAGTAAAACGTATTGAAGTTTTGATGACTTTTTCATCTATCTGTTGTATTATTTAGCTTATTAAATACCTTTTTTTTTAAATAATCAAATACAGAATGATACCACACTACTCTACCTTTTGAATAATGAATAAGACAATTCTTCGCTATTAATATTTTACTCCTTTTTCATTGGAATAGATTTCAGCAAGTATTTTCTTAACGAAAACATTGGTCCTATAGAAGACAAAATGATTTTAGCAACAAAAATAGAAGTGTCATTTGACAGTTGGTAAGAATTATTCTACTAAATTCACTGCACTATGGCTATTTGTACGTTAATCAGTGCAGTTGGTGATTCCCCAATAGTAATCTCTTTCAAACTAGTTCAAGGAAGAATCAATTCATCTTTGTTTTGTTTTAAAGATTAATTTTGACAAAAAAAATTGAAACGAATCCATCTGTTTGAAGTTGAGAATATCTACATTTTATACGATTTTAAGAAGAGAATTTTTTTTTGGCTTTTTAAAACAGAATGATTAGAAAATAAAATATTACTGTAAAAACTTATGGTGATAATAATATGGATTGGAGCTAGTCATTTTACGAGTCTAATTTTGATTGAATTTAATACTGTGGTATGAGTGTAGGTGGACGGATTTTCTCTACCTACTCACATCCACACCCTCAATAAATTATTTTATCTACTCATATTATTCCAGTATGAAATGGCTTACATTAGTGTTATTTATTTACTTTAATAATGATACAACATTTATATATCACTTGATACAGCTGTGGCAAAATAGAGACACAATTTTGCTGCAAAACGTACATATCTACTCCCTTATATTCACATCATGCTACCAGTTTACTCATTTATCCCACATTATTAATCTTTATTTTATTTTATTTAATTAATGTGATAACATTCATAACTTTATCTACTTGTCCAACTGAAGAATGAAAAAAAAACAATTATAACGCGAAAATATTATCATTGCACCAAATAAAGCACACAAGAGCACAAACATTGGTTATTTTCATAGAAGAAATTCTATGGGCGCTGTTTTTCAGTTGTTACATTCTTTTCTACGTCTGACTAAAATAACTTTTCTCAGATTGCTTCCTATTGAAATTATGTTGGGGTAAATAATAAGGTGTACGTGTCACACTTTTCCTGTGATTAAAGCAAGCTACTTTCTATAAACATGATCAAGAATATCATCTATATATCACACCGTTGTCAAATTTATTCAACCTAGCAACGAACTCTGTAATCATAAGTCTTATGTCAATATTGCTATCGAGTTGTGCAAGATGTGAAAATAGTATGAAAGAGAAAAAAGAAATTTACTGTTTTACATACAACAAGCCAAAGGTATCAGCGGAGAAAGGTGAGTAGTCAGTTGATTCTAACGTCTTCGTTCAAATAACATGGTACAATTTTTTCCCCTACTCACTGTAGAATAGTCAT